CAATTTGCTTAACAATCATGGGGAAAAAGATCACAATATTGGATGCAACTCAATGAACAATTACTTTGCTTAGCAATGGAAATTCTGGTTCCAGTTGTGGTTGTAAGTCAAAGGCACCCTGTAAGCACAAATATTCCCATCTGAAGGCTTTCAGTCAGTTCCAAACTAAAACCTACTTTCCATTTATTTCATGGGAAATAAATTTGAAAATCAGCAAGGGGTTAATCATTTAATTTAATTAATTTCTTCATTCACATTTATGAAGCAGGAAAATTTCTTATAAGTTGTATATCAGTACAACTAGAGCACCTGCACTCATACTTACTAATCCAATTTAGACTTGATTCCATTTGCTAGGCATAGATGTAACAAGTCATTTTCTTTTTCAAGTTTAAGGAATGAAATAAAATGAAGAGGGGAAACCTTAAAACGTATGCCAACAATGAACAAGTCTGAAAAATTCTATGAAAAATATAAATACATGGTTTTTTTTAAAAATAGTGAGACGGTCTCATAAGAATGACTAAAAATATTGTTGTTAAACACAAATGGTTTTTCTAAGCCCTTCATCAACTCCAGCTATGACAATAGCAGCATTACTGAAAAAGCCCTCTGGAAAGAGTTCCATGAATAGATGGGAAGCAGGGAGCCTGCAGGCCATAAGAGAAAGGGCTGTATGGCAAATGTGATAGCATTCACATGCACCTCCTTTCTCCTTTCCGGGTCCTAGCTTTTTGGATTTCTTAAAACTCCCATCTGTTTGTAACATTATCTTTCATTGAACTGAATGACAACTGGTGGAAAATATACTGGCCATGAAAACATTCCCTTCAGTAAATTTCCTGAAACATATCAAGAGCAACAAAGACAGCATTTGAAAACAGTTTTCTTTCAACCTCAACTCAGCCACATCCTGTTGAATCTTCTTGTATGAATATCGGGAGCTTCCAAAATATATTGCATGTTACTTAAACTTTCTAAAAATTTTCTATTGATTTGAACAGTTATGTACAGTAGCATTGGCATCTCTTTCTTTCTAGTAATTTCACCTTGTTTCTCTTTATCTTCAGACAACTGTAGGAGAAGGGGCAGAGGGTCCCTTGCCCCAATGAAGCATTCCTGATAGTTCTTCCAACCTTCTATCGCTTACTATTCCATGTATTTTCAAAGTGGATGTGAGGGCATCCACTCCACTATCTCCTGCTGAGTCTTTCCCATTTTTCTGCAAGATAGCATTGTTTTTTACCTAATAAGTATCAGTGCCGTGGTTGCCTATCCTCTGACCACTGAAAACAACAAAAATGTCCAAAATAAATCTGCTTTGCTATTGTTGACATCAAAGGCCTCTGTGTACTAGATGTGTCTTTTTTTAAATCAAAAGTAAACATGTTAATAAGGCCAGCCACCAAATCACCTTAAGAAAAGAAAGTAGCCAAAGACTTTCATAGCCTATCAGTTCTTTGACTAAGAGTAACAAAAAGATATAAATTGTAATATGTTTGCACCTATACAAAATTTATGGATATTTATCTTGTAAATTAACAGAAACTTAGAAGAATACACATATCTATTAATATAGGAGAGAATGCCATAATACAATCAGTTGGTTTCCATACATATAATCACTGTGTTTCCAGAACTGGGAAACAGGACTTATCTTTCGTGCTTCTGCTAGACCAGGGGTGCCTGGCTGAGGAATTCTGGGAGTTGAGGTCCACAAGTCATAAAAGGGCCAAGTTTGAAGACCCCTGTGCTAGACTGATATTCAGGCTAAGTCTTCCAGGCAGAGATTCAAGGACATGGCCCTTGATAAACTAGTTTTACTATAGACACTAGAAAAGCTGTTAATGAAGAAATCCAGCAACTGCAAAGTGTAATATGCAAGCCATGTATGCAGCAGAAGAAAGATTCAAGACTCTTTTTCTACCACCCATGCAGTAGATTGGGCTAAGAGCTGCTTGTTCTTTGATGGGATAAAAAGTTGAAACTCATTTATTGTTACTATAGTGGTTCATTCTGATCTCAGGATCTTTGTCCTATCTCACTTTCACACTATTCTGGCTGAAATACTGATCCTCAGGCCCTGAGATTGTAGTTCACAAATGCTGGTCAAAATAGAGAGCAGCCTGTTAGCGTCTGGTTTCTGCAAAGTTATCACTTCCTGATTTTTCATCCTTTTTTAAAAAAAACACTGACTAAAAACAAATGTACAATAGCCATGTTGGAATCAACACCACAGCAGACGTAATTAAAATGCACTTACCACTCCTTCCCTTTTCTTCCTGTTTCACACCACTACTTCCTAAATGTGCAGAGTGACAGATTTTCAAGTCCATGTTTATAAGGACACTGAGATTATGTGCTAGTAGCAGGAAAAGAGAGTTAATATTTAGTTAACCATCAGGTCTATGTTCCCTTGGAGATACTGGAGCTAAAATTAACTCACCTACCTTCTATGTATCTGCTGACTGGGTTTAGTTATTCAAAAAGATCCAGTTAA